AGTGGGGCTTTCAGCTGCGCCATTTCCAATCTGTTCAATCGAAGTAAACACTTCGGGTCCCTCTTCCGCCTCTCCCTCTCCCTCTTGCACTTCCACGTCTCCCGGAGCGGGTCCATCGACAGAAAGACGAAGCATATGGAACTCAATCTCATTGAGTGAGCGATTGTGAAACTCATCTCTTATTTCAGCCCAAGAGAGACCCGATTGGCTGCTCAGACGACCTAAAGCTGCAAGTTCGCCCTGCGACCAGGGGCCCGAAAGGTGAGGCGGATTTTCCAGACGACAAGTCCAATGGTAGTAATACCAATTCAGGATAGTCCGGTTGGCGCAATTTGGAAGACGTCGAACCACATCATTCACTTTCTTGCCTTCCTTGTGCATCATTGACACGATTAACTTTGCTTCGTCGGGTGTTATGACTCGCCTTTTGCTTGGCGTATCTTGAACGGAGTGGACTGATGCAGCTTGTGTGGGTTTGAGAATTGAATCATCGTTTTGTAATATAGTATCCAATGACCCCTCCTTTGGGATATTTGCTTGTGACGATTGGCCATGGTCATCGTGCCTCTCTCCGTCGTCGGTTTCGTTTATACGATCTGGCTGCTTTGAAGGTGCATGCTCAGACCGAGTAGATGAACCGCCGCCACGTTTGTCCGGCACCTGTACGCGTTTCCCGCGGATATTCCGCATTTTAGATGGTGAGGGTGACGCCCAATCTTCCTCTTGCAGAGGGTCATCGGATTCATCACCGTCGGGTATCTTTGCAAAGGACCAGTCAGATGTCAGTGGACTTGAGTGGTATTTCCGCTTCCCACGTGGCTGGCGCTGACTCGGCGTAGCCTTGGGTTTCCCCTCGGTTCGTGGCCTGCCGCGTTTGGCAATAGCCCAGATCGAGCCACTCCCTGGTGGAGATCGAGACCTGGCAGATCCGATCTGTGGGGAGAAGGCGATATTGACTTTGCGGCCGCCGGGGCCGGTGGTGGGCGTTGCGTAGGTTTGCGGCAAGTCAGGGACCTGCCAGATGGGATCTTGAGGCTTGGGTGCTGTGTTCAACTGGGCGGCTTTTTCGCTCTTCGCCATTGGACTGAGCCCTGAAGCTCCGGACGCTTTGTAGGTAAACACGAAGTCTGAGGAGGCCGCGTTGGTCTCCTCTATACCCGAGTTTATAATTGATGTTTCATGTTGATCGTTCAGCAAATCATCGCCGTGAGAGACTGCGTATTCATGGCCTTCTTCATCTCCCTCTGCGCCTTCATCACCGTCTGGAGCGTCATCCGACTCGTCGCCAGCCTGAAGCCAAGAAAATTGACCCCCTGTATCACGTTCGCTCTGCATCCCCAGCAGATGTCCGTTGTCTACCACCAGTTTCCCGCTCTGCAGGTCGATCTCATCGCCCACGTCGGTAAAGTCCTGGCTGTATTTGGCGAAGATGCCTTCGAACAGAGATTTGAGTCGCGAGTCATTTTGCGCGCGTGCAGCCGGGAGGTCGAATTCCTCGGGGACGTCTTCTGAATCGTCAGGGGTGTATGACAGGCGCGGTCTCTTCGCTGGTCGGTCGATGTCTGGCGCGGAGTACATGTTTGCGCCAGGAATCACTAGCAGTGGCGAGACGTGCTTATGTTTGGTCGGATAATGAAGAAGATGGCATAATTAGAGTAAAGAAGCAATGTTGGACAGGTAATGTAGCTCGAAGCGCGACAAACAAAAATGCGGCAGATCAAAAACAAATGACGTTCCGCTCCCCAACTTCACCTCCCCACACCCCGACATGATGTACTGCCAGAAGTGTCGCACACCACTCAAGCTGGATGGCTCATTAGAGTCTCTCAACCCAGCTGCCTTTGATCTGCTTGTCAGTAAGTGTGTACCTCTAAACTCTACTTGACGTCGCTGACCAAGTCTAGACTCTACAGGCAAAACACTATCAGATGGAGCTGCCTCAAAGTCCTCCTATCCACCAGATCGACGCGCACACTACGATCAAACATCCAAACATGCTACGCCGCCAGTTTATCGGCGGTCTATCCCGGCTCCTCGCGGAGGACCCCCGGCGATCCCTCGAGGCGATAGCGGCAACATGTCATTCGTCATGCTGACCGAGTCTCAAGTCGTGCCGCCTGTCGAGAACACCCGGAGCAAGGGAAACCGCACACCTGCCCAACCTGCCAGTCAAGAGAACGAATCATTCGTGGATCAGGTGGAGAAGGCAACCCGGTTGTTTGAGATTGTCTCGGCTCGTTCTGATATCGACCATCCTATCTGCGTGGAATGTACGGACCTACTCGTGGAGGGGCTGCAGAAACGGTTGACTGGGGCTACCAAGGAGCGGGATGCATACATTTCATTCCTGCGGAACTTGAATACGTCGGTTCCGACCGCGGAGGAGGTGCAGGCGGCTGACAAATCCTTGAATGAGAGCGTTGAAGCGGAGCGGGCTGCATTCGCCGAGCTAGTCGCTCTGGAAAAGGAAAAGGCCGGACTAGATGGGGAGATTGCTAGTCTCGAAATCGAATCTCGCCAGCTGGATGTGGAGGAGGAGAACTTTTGGCGAGACCGCAATGCTTTTGCCTTGACGCTGACCGAGTTTCAAAACGAACGGGATGCACTTAATATGCGCTATGATCACGACTCGCAGCAGCTTGAACGACTGCAAAGGACTAATGTCTACAATGACGCGTTTTGCATTGGTCACGATGGATATTTCGGTACTATCAATGGGCTACGCCTCGGCCGGCTGGCCAACCCCTCCGTTGACTGGCCTGAGATCAATGCTGCGTGGGGACAAACGGCGCTGCTTCTGGCCACGATGGCTGAAAAACTAGGATTTCAATTCCAGGGATATCGCCTCAGACCCTTGGGGTCCAATTCACGGATCGACAAGATCGAATACCCGGCCCAACCATCTGGCCAGCCCGTCGAGGGAGCTGCGGCCAAGGTAACTCAACTGGACCTTTTCTCGTCAGGAGACTTGCCGCTGAATCTACCCTGGCTGCACCGTCGCTTTGATGCGGGCATGGTGGCGTTCCTTGAGTGTCTTCGCCAGCTGGGGAGGTTCGTCGAGAAGACCCCTGCGCCCGTGGTATCGCCACGCCGGGGCCAGACCAACGCCAGTGCACCGGGGTTGAAATTACCCTATGAGATCAAACGGGATCGCATAGGTGATGCCAGCATCAAGTTGGGCTTCAATCAGAATGACGAGACCTGGACTCGTGCCTGCAAGTACACGCTGACCTGCTGCAAGTTCCTACTTGCGCACGCTAGCAACCTGGCGAGCACGGGCTCCAACTCGGCAGCTGTCGCGGCTGCAGCTGTGGCAGCCGCCGATCAAGCCCGACAGGTGACCCCGCCAAGATGAAACAAAGGCTGCAAAAAAGGTGAGGCTGCAGACGACCCAGATGCCAGTCATAGCCGGAAAATCGCGCAGATCCTGAAAACTACAGTACTGCGCCTCCCTTCCCTCTCGTACTTTGGGGATAAGCTGTAGATGGAATGGGAATGACGTGCCTAAGAGTGGGTGTTTCACCTAGTGCATCCCGGGGCCTCATTGGGCTGCGACCGAATGGCTGGATCGACCAGTGCGCGCCTCCACCAATGCCCTCCTTGACATTTGTCGGCTGTGTGCAGGTACTGCGCGTGGACTCAGAACAGACCCCCTAACTCACATCCATTTTCCTGGGCACAGATCCGGAAGAGAACCCATGTACTGCAGAGTCGTTACGCCGCCACGATTCATCCCGCGACATCCTAGTACCTGCATGCGATCCGAGCCGGTGAACGATCCACGGTGGACCTATAAGCATGAACACGGCGGATATCCCCGTTACCGCGCGAAAGGCGGGAAGGGGGCCTTAGAATAAATGTACAGGGAAACGCTGGCAGATAGTACAAAGTACCCCCCGCATTCTTGCCCTCAGATCCTAACTGTTCAAGGACTAGTCGGGTACCCGACTGATTCTTGCCTTAAGGTTCGGTGTTTGCTTACTCGGGGACTGGATTTCAGCTCCCCGGGTAGATCACTGCATGATCTTCTACTCGTACTCGAGTAGTGTTCTAGCCCTTGAGAACTGGACTACATATACTATAGATGACCAGGGGGAGGGTGTGGCCCGGGGTATATTCTCTCTCTGTTTCAGAGGGGGGTGTACAAAGAATACGGCATATAAGGAGACATGACAATATATAAAAGTACTATAGCACGGACCTAAGATCGTACGATGGGCCAAGTGTCAGGGCCTTTCGGCCGGAGGGGCACGCTGGTCCGAGCCCTCACGCGGGCCCCTTGATCGCCACATAACGTAGACCGTAGAACGGAGAACGTATAACGGTCGAACGGTTACTCCCTTGCTTCAGATCTGGCACGTTGAGACTACTGTATGTACGGTGGCATTCATACTTTCTACTTATTCCCAATACGGCAGGAGACTCAGTGGCTGATCCACATGGCTGGCATTTTAGACTCGACAAAGAGCTGTCAAGGAAGTTTCGGGCCGCTCCCGGTGTTTTGTTGGATCTACGATTGTAAATTACTTTTTAATCTACCGTGACTTGTGTGTACTTGTGAGGCAGCCGGAAATGCACCCAATTTGCGGCCAGTGCTCTGCATGTAATAGTTCGCTTAGCTTGTATAGGCAAAAGTACGTATTCTCCACTCTGAAAAAAAAAGAAAGGAAAATAAAGCATAGAATGTAAATATCAAGAAACATAATAATAAAAGCAAAACCCAATATTCGATCCGACTACCCTATATTTGACTCCATAATAAGGCCCGGAGATATTCTCCAGTGCAAAGACCCTCGATTGACCGTGACAAGTTGCCTACCACGATGGATCCCCAACTAACACGCTGATTTGGCCGGGGAAGCAGGGGGTCGTGCGTCCGCGCGCACGTCGCCGTAAAGAGAAGAGGGATTCCTGGCCCCCGTCATATTTCTTTTTATAACATTCCTTATTACTCTTTAACGGCTTTTCTCTATGAAACTCTCTTCTCTAGATATTCCACTATGGACAAGCCCTTCTCTCCCCCTCCGAATATCTTTCGTCCTCGTCGATCGGACGACTGGCATGAATATCGCGAAACTATCGAACAGCTCTACCGAAATGACCAGCTGAAACTGCGCGATGTGAAACGCATCATGGAGCGCGATTACAAGTTCTATGCCTCGTAATGCCATCTTTTTTTCTTTTCTCTCTCTGTTTTGCTTTTCGTTTCAACTCTTATAGATCAAGTATCGCCTAACATGTCGATCAGAGAAAAACAATACAAAGATCGTCTCGCGGCGTGGCATGTCCGGAAGAATATCAAGGCCAAAGAGGTTCACATTATGCTTCGCAAGCAACAGAAACGCGCCGCCCAGGGGAAGCAGACTGCTTTCCGGGTGAATGGCCAAAACGTCGACCCTAAGCGTATCGCTCGCTTTGTACGTCGCTACGGTACATCTTGGGATACGAACCGAAAGGAAGCGGAAACAGAGCCTCAAAGCCCTGAACCTCGTGAGTGTCACTACGCTACTATACTATATAGTATAGTATAGAGTAGTACCCACATCTAGACAGTACACAGTTTACAATACTAACTAAACAGAAACCCCCTCCGACATGACTTGCTACACCCCAGAACCAGCAGAAGAATCAAGCGCCACAACACCCATCTCCCCACTCCCAGAAATGCATTCACCAAGAGAGATGCCCTCGTTCCCACTCGGCTCATACGGTAATTCCAGCTCGGACTCCAGGATGAGCGTCATGCCGAATGATATTGATGCCCGGTATCTATCTCTAGACCCCAACCACCTCGAATCCATCCCGGACCTGATCATTGACGACGATCCGGCTATGCCGTTGACTATGCCTCGTCACGGGCATGGTCATGGCCATGCGCAGAGTCATGGACATGGACAGAGCCATGCACAGAGCCACGGCCAGCATGGCTTCTATCACCACAATGCTGGCGTTGGTATTGGTGCTGGTACTGCCATCGGCGTGGGTAATCATATCTCGCATAGTAGCCATGGTTCGTCGCATGTTAGTCATGGTTCGCATGGTTCGCATGGATCTCATGGATCTCACGCGTCGCATGCTTCGGGACATGTTCCTCTTTCTTTGCCGCATCCGCATTCGCACTCGCAGTCCCATTCGCATCAGTCTTTGCATCAGCATCATCAGCCTTTTCAGCAGCACGCTGCACCTGTGCCTGTGTCTATCCCGGCCGCTGCTCCCGCTCCTGCGCCCGTACAGGGTAATTCGGCTTCCGCTTCTAGGGATTTGGAAGACGCACCCGGTGAAGTGGATGTCCATCCGCCTGACTGGAATACCATCGAGTCGTTCCAGACGAGGTTGCAGGGGTTGGATTATACGCTTACGCAGACTATGTCGAAGTGGGCTAGGGAGGCGGATCCTAATCAGGAGATCCCTCATCATGAGGGCTTGGGGATGTGATTTTGGGTTCTTTGCTTCTTTCTCTCTTTCTTTCTTGACCTCCTGTTCTTCAGCTTGCTTGCTTTCTTTCCTTTCCTTTCTTAATGATGCTTGTCTTTCCCATTTCAGCGTGTGAGCCCGTCTTGTTCCCTTTTTCCTTCATGATCTCCTTGCCACTCTTGTTTGCTGTTTGACCTCTTCTTTATGTACATGGATCTTGTTCTACTTTCATTGTTGGAGGAGTTTGCATTTCATTGTTTCCTTCTTCAGACATAGGCCAGGCGAGGAAAAGTCATAGCATGGGCGTTCTCATTGTGGATGATTCTCTTTAGATTGGTGATGGTAATGGTGATGGCGATCTATGCATATACGTTATGGCTTCTATGATTCTGTGTATCCTGACTTGCAAGTATGGGTAACGAGAGCGAGAGAGAGAGGGGNGGGGGGGGGGGGAAGAAAGGCAGAAGGGAAGAGAAGGTGTCTATCCTCTCGACGACCGAATGTCCCTGGCCTCGACTCTACTCTACATCCTACCCGATTCTATACTCGTCCCGCTCAACCGATCCTCGTCTCACCCTCCTGAGACATATACTCTCCGTTCTCCTTTACCCCCACATCCACCCCCTCGGGAGTTACTACAGTACAATCCTCCGTGGACCCCCACTGAACGAACACTCCGAACTCCCACGCCCACACCGAACGACCTGAATCCTCCCCGAACCACACAGTAACCCTCCACCACCCCGTCACAAGATACCCTACAGGCCCACCAAGAGAACAAAACAACACAAACCCAACCGTCAAAAGGACATAACCCCGGCCCATCCATCCCAGTTCGAGGAGAGTCTACGCTACGGTGCGTTACAAATCCCCCTTCGACCGAGGAGTGGAGAGTCCGGTGACAGCAGATCCGGGACGAAAGGGTGATGGAGATGGAAGCAGACACAGTAGTCAGTAATCAACTGTCCACTTCCTTATCTCAGATTGATGTCAAGTAGGAGGGGAGAGGAGTACTGACTCAACTCTACCCAGACTGGGTACCTTCAGGGATCCATTGTGTGACGAACAGCACTGCGTATAACTATAGGTAGATTCTTGTAGCCTAGAATAAGTGGGTGTATATGTGACTGAGAGCTCCTTTTTACCACACATTCCACTTTTTCTTGAAGTCGAGATGAACGTATTTCTAACCGCGTAGCTAAATATAGTATAAGATGGCATAGAAACGTAGAGAAAATACCTTCCCTTTTAGTAAGTCTGACTACCTACCTACAACTCACAATAATCCACGGAACCCCTATCCAGCCAAGCCCAGCCAATCAAACCCTAGAAAAAGACAAACCCAGAGCCTAACCCAAGTTTCAATCAAGACTAGCTCCAGCACCACACCACCGGAACCCCAGAAGCCTCTCCCATCTAGAGTTCTAATCCGGACCGGAGGATGTGAGGTGACATACTGTGCTGTAGACGCAGCATGCCACTTCTGGGATTGGGACTTTGGTCTTGGGATTCGGGTCCAAGGTTTGTACTGGATTGTGAAAAGAAATGCATGTAACATAACATGGATATGGGTATGGATATGGGTATGGATATGGGTATGGATATGGACATGGACATTGGATATAGGGGACAGGATATGAGATACAGGGGTAAGTGGGCGAGAGGGGGCTTGGGCCGGTGATTACTCTACTTTGGTGATCTAGTGTACTAGTATAAGTTACTGTACAGAACGAGTTACAGTAAAGTAAAGTAAAGCCGAGTGGGACATAAGTTACCTCCTATTGTACACGTCCATGAAACGGGTATTTGCATTGCATGGTTTAATCAAATTGAGTAACTGTCTGTGATATGAAAGATGGCGTAGACCAGGGTTTGATATTGCCATGCTATATTGATATTTTGATATTCGACGTGTCAATTTTGGACTTTTGGACTCGGGACTTTGGATTTCTGGTTCTGTGTGGGGCGCGGAACGGTAGGGCCGTTTGGCCCACTGTGGATATGGACGGGATGATTACTGTACAGTAGACATGAAGATACGTATGGAGTCGAGGATTAAGGGCTAACGGTTGAGTGAAGTTGGTTTACTCTACGATTTACAGCGTCTTGGATATAAGTATTATCATGTACCATGCATTGCATTGCAAATTGTTAAATACATAAATCCAAATGGGACCAGAGAGACCGTCGCTAAAATGAATCCAATCCAACAGACAGATAAGAGAAAAAGAGGGAAAAAAAAAGAAAGAGAAGAAGAGATACGAAGAGTAGGAATAAAAGCCGTAAGTTGCCCAGGTCCACTCAATCCTGGGGATAAGAGGAAGAGTGGGATACTGGACAGAGAGAAGAACTGCGGCCATGGGTTCCTTGCACAGCAGATCATAAGGAGAAAGCCTCCAGTCGCACGCTCGTAGGGATATATAAGAATGAGCAAAGGTGTAGTGTGGGTAGAAGGAGATAGGGAGGGGAGGGGAGGGGAGCTTTTGGCCAAAACCATATCCTGCAACCGTCTAGCATGTCAAAGAACAGAACAAGAGGAAACCAAAACCAGGCATCAGACAGCGTCTATGTTGTTCACGAGTAGAAAGTGCTCTTTTGGAAGCTTTCAGGGGAGATATCACCCATCTTGCCATTCAGCGCGGGCTTCTGCTCCGGCTTAGACAGCGAGGATAGACTCTGTGTGCGGGCCTCGGTGGCCTCGCCCTTCAGTGAGGTGGTGCGAGTACCGGGTTCACTGCCGGCAGTAATGGCTTGCTGATTGGGTCGGCGTTGGATAGTCTCCAGATATGGACCGGGAAGGTAGCCGACGCGACCGTCGCGGGCACGGCAGCGCCACCACTCCGAGGCATTGCCCATAGGGTCGGACTTGCTGAGGACGGCGACGATGTCGCCCTTCTTCACAGCAAGGTCGATCCCGTTGCTCTCCTGGGTCTCAGGAGTGTAGTCGTAGAGGAGACGGCAGAAGTCCAGCTTGGACGGGTCGAGGGATGCCGAGCCTGGCTCGCCGTTGGGGCCGACCAGCTGTTGGCGGCGACGGGCCTCCTCTTCCTGGGACCGCGCCAGTGCCTTGATGAGCTTGCCCATCAGATAGGGAAGACCGAACACGGCAATCAAGAACATGAAGAACGGCTTCTTCGATGGCTTGGCAGGAGCCGGGGAGCCATCAGGAAGAGTAGTTGCTGCTCGTCCACCCATGAAAGCCGCGAAAGCAGCAGGAGTCAAAGACGTAGCATCAGCGGGCGGCGGACGGCCAGTCAGCTTAGCTATCAAAGTCCTAAACCACCGAATGATAGTGAAAATACCCAAGGCCGAGCCGAGGGTATTGCGCAGGTTTCCAAACTGCTCTGCGACCGAGACCATCGCTACAGAAATGCGTCAGCAAGTGCCCCAATACGTATATCCCCAGACAACGAAGAACTCACCGAAGAATGAACTGTGAGTAGCCATATAAGTGCTCTCCAGCATCTGAGCAAAGCCCCCAAACGCACCGACGATACTCTCGATCATGTGGAAGGTCGCCTGGGTGCTCTGCCCAAACGAGTTCGTCAAACTATTAGGATCGTTGGGATCCTGTCCCGGCATGCCGCCGTACATCCCTCCCATACCCATACCACCCATACCACCCATGCCACCATACATGCTACTTCCGTAGCCGCCATAGCCACCGTACATGGAGCCCATGCCGCCCATGGAGCCGAAGCGGGAGTACGGCGACGAGTAACCGCCCATACCACCGTATCCTGATCCGTAGGCGCCGGTACCTAGCCGTGAGGCCCCATAGGGTGAGTAGTTTGAGGCGGTGTTGTTTACCACGGAGTTGAGGGTGCTGGGTCGGGATGGGAGGTCGGGTGCGGTGGACGTTGCCGTTGCGGGGTTGGCTGTTGAAGTCATCGCTGTTGAGGCGGCTGGGCTGCCAGCGGTTGGCGCTGTAGATAGTGTGTTTCCTGCTGAAAGAGGAGGGGGTAGTTAGTATGACTGTTTGGATGGGGAGATGGATCGCGCTTGGTGGGTGGCGATCACGATCAGGATCTGATCAGCACTTACCGGCGCCCGCTCTCTCCCACGGTTTTGGTGGCGAAGCCGTCGCCATGAGTTTGTTTTCAGCGTACTTGCATCGAGGTCTAGATCAGATATGGAGTGTTGAGAATCCGGGGGGAGACGAGAGGAGGCGGAAAAGTCGCATGTGGCCGGAGTGGAGATACCGAGGTCGGGGTTTGCCGATTGTTACATAACCGATCGGTCTACATTCTACAGTTGTTTAACGTTACTTAGTAGTTACTTAGTAGTTCAGGTACTTGCTTGTTATTGCTATTTTGTTAAATACAGACAGTAGAATCATCATTACTGTTGTATTTTCTCTATTCTTTGAACTTCTCACAGTATATCACACAAAGTCGCCCTTTGCGGTGAAATCTCGGTGGCGAATGCATGTACTTTCCGCCTTGGGCGACCGAGGCAGATCTCGGACTATAAGTTAGTATTGGGCGGTACATGTATTCCAGGAACATTTGTATATAGAGAATTCCTGGGAAGATATCAATAGCTACTATATGCATTTAAGATAATGTAGATAAAAGAGCACATACCCTTGGCCGCAATTCCTAACTTCTCGCTTGTACGGGCATTTGCCGCGCCACTCGGAAAACTCACCCGTGTAGACCGAGCCGACTTACATGTACATGTACCTACCTACTACAGGTGTATGTTATATCTCATCAAATCCAAAATCAAACACAAGTGAAGATAGTATAGATTGATTCAACTCCAAACCGAGAACCCAACCCAAGTCTACAAACGCCACAGCACAGAGCCGTATATGTACAGTGTATGCCAATGCAAAAGCGATTAATATATCAGAGCTCATCACGCTGAGCCTGAGCCTGAGCCTGCTCATAAGCCCGGCGCTTAGTATGTTCGCGAGGCTCAGGAGCCTTCAGCTTCCATGGCCGCGGAGGCACAGGCAGACCCAGCCAGTAGTTGTAAAGACGCATGGATTCAATGGCACCGAGTTGGAATCTGTAGTAGTTAGCACAAGTCACAACAATAAGAAATAGAACGTGAGAGCTTAGACTTACAATGTCCGCGGGAGATCTATCCAGGTCTGGAAGATGTACCCGACCGTTCCCCAGATCATGTTCCATTCGACCATGAAATCTTCAATGATGCCCGCGTCTGGGTTGGGTGGTGGTCGCTCCCAGGGGTAGCGTGGTGGTGCTTCCCGGCCGTACACGTAATCTTCCTCGTTTTCGTTTTCGTAGTAGTAGTTTCCAACGCCGTCTTGTAGTAAGCGGCCTTTAGCCTTTTCCCCATGGGCATTTGTTTGGTGACCGGAAGGGATAGCGCCGTGGGCGGGGAACATGTGTGTGTTGCCGGTGATAAGGGCTCGCTGCATGCTACGCGCGGCAGCTAGGCTGTGGGAGATCCGGCCGAGCGTGTTGACGAGGGCAACCAGCTCGGTGCGGTGCAGGGTAGGGTTCTCGCCGTTCTTGGTCTCGTCGTACTCGAAGAGCACCTTCAATGCGGTTCCGTATCCCTTGACCTGGAGCTTACCCCACAGGCGGCATTTATCGCAGCCGACGCAGTCCATCAGTCTGCTGACGTTACGGAAGCGGTTGCGGAAGTCCTCCTTGAGACCGAGGGCGCCGGGGTCTTGGAACATAATGTTCTCGTCGAAGATTTGCGGGATGGTCGATAGCGTGCTTGTGAGCTTGTTGACGCGCTCCTTGGTCTTGAGGTCCTGTGCGGGATCGCTGGTACAGAAAGTGTAGCCCTCGAGGTGTTTGCGCAGTTTCGCCACGGCGCGCGATACCAACGCGTAGTTGAAGTACATGTTGGAAATGCGCTCGGGGTGGTCGTGGAGGCGGTCCTTGTAGCATTGCACATTGGGGTGCCACTGGCCGGTCGTTTGGTTGAGGTAATCCCAGCATAGATGGGTTGAAATGGAAGCATGCATGCCACTGATGAGTCGGTGGAAGACCCGCTTTTCCAAGCACTCATTGTCTAGCGGCAGACCTTCCAGGCGCTGCGACTCCTTCTGGAGCACATTGCGGAAATCTGAGGCTGCCTGGAGGCCACCCATGGGGACGTTGAGCGTTTGTTCTTCCAATTCCTCGATGGGCTTGAGGAAACAGTTCTCGTTGTAGATCGCATTCCACACCTGGTGTGCGCCTTCACCCGAGTATCCAGTGAACCGCTCCGGGTTGTCAACCAAGCTCACGTAGTCGCCCTTCCCGGCGGATCCCTCGTCCTCCGGAACACAGTAGTCGCGGTCGTCACACTCGTCGTCATATTCCACCACACAACTTTCGCCGACGTCCTCTCCCAGCTCTCCTTGTAAGGGTCGTTCCTTCGGACGTTCTTCTTGGATCTTGCGTGGTGGGTGGTTTGCTTTCGGGCCTTCCAGTTTGCTCAGTTCCTCCGCGCGCCACGTGAGAGGGATGTCTTCTTCCGAGTCGATAGTGTTCACAGAGCATGCAATATTGCCACACATGCTGTTTGCATCATTCCAGAAGGGACATTCTTTATTGAAGAGGTTGAGGCGATAATATGAGAAGAAGTCCGTGTCTTGCGTGATAGAGTTGAGGGTCGTGAAAATCATGTCATTAATACCGTCGATAGAGCCGTAGGATACGCAAGCGTCTGATACCATGGCCGAAGGCTCGAGCTGGAGAGAAGAGCTGTTAGTTATCTGGTCCGGCCTTCCGGCGCGCTTGTCTTGACTTACAGCACACTTGGTTGGATCCAACGGAGTGCCATTATTGCTGGCATTGCTTAGGCCCGCAAATGCAAATACGGCTGCATAGAACAGCCTCGCCGCAGGTCGCATCTTGCCCGCCGACTTATGATAACTGAATGAGCCAAGTCACTGTATAGGCGAGGTGGCGCAAAGCCCGCGGAGGTTCAATCGGCTATTGGGTTAGAGTTGGTCGCAAAAAGCACAATCAGAGAGAATGTAAGGCGATTGCAAAAAGAGGAATAACAAAGAATGTCGGGGTCACAAAGAAAAAGTAAAAGTGGACAAGCTGGCCTCGAATGTGAAGATCGGCCGATCGCCAAGCAATGACAATGGCCTGACGGTGGAGGCTTTTGATTGGTCAGTATTTATGGGTCTCTGGAATTGAGCCTCGTTAACTCCGCGATGTAAGTTATATGTTACTCTTGTTACTCTGGTGGTGCCACTGCATGGTCTGACAATTCTCGTATAGTAAGTACTTCGGGTATACTGGGTAGATTCGTAATATATGTCGGGTTTTCCAATATTCGTTCATTTTTCCGGCTATTATAGAGGATACGTTGTTGATAGCCCCAACGAGTATAGCCTAAAGATCACACCCAATGTTATTTTGCAAACGATTACAAATCTGGCCACCTTGCAAACCACCTGGGCAGATACGCAATATATACACGTCCTTAGTAAGCATAAGCCTTGGTCTCCCCCAAAGCCCGCCGCTTCCTATTAGCAAAAACATAATAAAGATGCAACAAAACACATCCAACACAAACAAATAGTAACAAAGCCGCATTAGTCCAATGACCGGTAGGATACCCACGGGCCTTCTCATTAGCCTTATAAATCCAAACCCCGACAATCTGCCCGGGGGCCCCGAAAGAGATATTCAACGCAATGGCGAGTCCAGCAGCACCGGTGGAATCAATATTAGACGACAGCCAGCCAAGAAGAGGCGGTATACAAGAAAAAGCCCCGCTGCATGCCACGATCAGGCAACCGTACCGATGCTGAACAACTCGTTAGTGCAGATCATGTCGCAAGGGGGGAAGAACGTACTAAGTATGCATCCACTGGGAGAACGGCTGATGCCAAGAAACCCATTGCGCCGATAAATGAGAATGTAGCAGAGTGTAGGCCGCGACTGCATCGCATGAGATCTGGTTAGAGCGGCTAATACGGTAAAGGGGGTCATTGTTCGAGTACATGGACATACGCGTTGAAGTGATCCGCTGACCATGAAACTGCAAGTGTGACCACATATGCAACTGCATAGGGTGGGACTGTCATTAGTTGAGCTTGGAGATTTTCATATCCCAGACCGGCCGTGATGGATGGTGTAAAGAGGGATAGACTGGAGAAGGGGGTCGAAATGCCGAAATAGATCTGTTCTGAGTTAGCTTCTTGTTCAAAGTCCTACACCATGATGGGGAACATACAGCATAATGCCCGCACAACCGCCAATCCGTAAGAACACCCTTGATATCAGCCCACGTCATGGCAGCTGCATTCCCCTTAGACCCTTCATGCTTAAGCCTCTCTTTCGCCAATTCCCGCTCCTCATCGGTCAACCAAGCCACTGTCTCTGGATAATCGGGTAAAATAAACCAGACAATAATAGCAGAAGCACAAGATGGTGCCCCCTCAATGATAAATAGCCATCGCCAGGCTGATAGTCCCTGTGCGCCATTCATAAATCCCACACCGTAGGCAATGGCTCCGCCGAAGGCACCGGCCAGTGTGGCAGATGCTAGGATGAGTGCAACGCGGAGGGACCGTTCTGAAACTCGATACCAGAATGTGAGATAGTATACCAATCCCGGGAATAGACCTGCTTCGATTACTCCTAGGAGGAATCGGATGCCGGTTACTTGGCCGAAATTGCGGGCTCCGCCTAGGCCTATTGTTATTGCGCCCCAGGAAAACATGAGGAAGGCGATCCATCGCTGTGTTATATTAGTTATTCGTGTCTCCTTTTTTGGGGTGGAAATGACCAACATTTGGCTTCAGCTTTTTTAGTAGATAGTTTGAGGGAACTTCGAAGATGGCGTATGCAATCAGGAATACCATTAGCGCGATACTAATATATGTCAGTCCTTTTCTTGTTATAGCATATATCTCTCGGGGCTTGGGCGCACATGTATTGATAATTGGACATTTTTGTCTCAGTGAGAAGGTCGTTGCCCTCATTTTCATTGAGAACCTTCGCATTTCCTGGAGCAGAACGTCAGTATCAGGAGCGAAATAAAAGTATAGCAAAAAAAAAAAATACCGATATTAGACCGATCCAAATAGCACAGCAGGTAAATGAATGCAGACAAAGGTAGGATCCTCAAGTCCTGTTTCCGCACCAGTGCTTTCACGGCATTTTCGTCAAACTCAGGCTCGCCATCTGAACTAGATGATCCGGTCTGAGCGCAAATATTAGAATGTCAACAGTAGCAAGATAGAGGGTAGTTAAAATACTGCTCGCTCGACATCCTCTATACTTTCACCCTGGGTCATTGGCTTTTCAGTCGACATTGGGTTCAGATATATTTTCGAATTCGATCCAACTGAACCAGAATCGCGGGGAAACCAAAATCTGGGGACGGTGGGCATATTTTAAATGCGTTTGAACCGACTAGCAAATAACCCACTGTGATATTGCACAAATCACAGAGAAGGTATTTACATAGATCGGAGTCGGAGGCCGATGCCGATAGCGGACCCCCACACTCAACAATGCGGGGAGCGTTGAGGTCGATTCTGGGGTGCAGAAGTGACATCTTTGCACAACAAGAGCCAATGGGCCAAGGAAACAAGAGTAAACCAAAACCACAGCCCTCGGCATGAACACACAAGCCTGTGACCGCTGCCGGCGTCGCAAGTCCCGTTGCGACAAGATCTCACCCTCATGTGGGCCCTGCCGAAAAGTCGGCACAATATGCAAGTATATCGACCGGGCGAAAGACCGACGGGAGTTGGTCGAGAGGCTCCAGCGTCAGCTGAAGCAGGCCGAGGCCAATAATTCTAGTTTGGCTGCTCGACTGGCGCACTCGGAGTTAGGATCATCACCCCAGACGGAGGTCGGACGGGCGTCCGAACCGAGCGCGGATCCTGATGTTGGTCAATCTGCCGAAGAGGGAGAAGAAGAAAGAGACCGCGGAGATGAGGTTATGGAGGAGGTATCGTTCCTCTCGCGCCGTGCGGGAGGAGAGCATCATTTCCTCGGCTCGGCTAGTGGGATACCTTTTGCGAATTTAGTCAGTACGACTGTTGAAGTGACATCTAGGACTCCTCAGAAAGAGAGTCAAAGACTGCCGTCTAGGCCTAATGGTGGCCCATCGGCTCCGACATCTTCGGCTCTCCCGTTTGATGCCTCTTTCCTTCCTCCGGAGAGGGTTGCTCGCGACCTTCACCGCGCATACTTTGAGAATGATCATCTTTCATACCCCTTTCTTCACCGAGAGGCTGCACTGGATGCGTTGAACAAGGCCTACAAGGACCCATCATGTCTGGAACAAGATGTGTTTGCAGGATTTGCCTTCGATATGATATTAGCCATCGCAACTGCGAGCGTGCACAAATTCGACTTGGAATCATTGCCCAACGCTGAAGGCTATCAGCTAAGGGCAGCACAGCGGCTAAACGAGGTCCTACAAAGAGGCAATATCCAGGCTCTCCAAGCTATTCTATTGCTGGGACAATATCGCATGATCAATTCTATCCAGGATACCTCAAGCAGTATGTGGCATATTGTTGGGATTGCTTCAAGGATGTGTTTGGAAATGGGTCTACACCGCGAACAAGTCTATAGAGCACAAAAAGGGAATGTGGAGAGTATCTCTTCACAGCAACTTGTGGCACATGAAGTACGTCGCCGTTGCTTTTGGTGTGTTGTTGCTATGGATAGGTGAGATGAATTCCAATTCTCGGCGTGCGTTTCCTAACGTGACAACTAGGGTCGTGAGTATAACGCTAGGAAGGCCTCTTGCAATACACCTCCAAGATACAGACGTTTCCCTCCCAGATCCGAGCCTGGACGCTACCGTAAATCATTGCGAGTCCGACACAGATCAGTTAGCATCGACCTTGTGCAGAACAGCTCTGTTCGTACATATCGTACGATATCGCATAATCTGCGGCGATATATTGTCCGCTCTTCACAATGGCTCCACTCGAACCCAGACAGACGAAGCACCGGCCCTCGCAGCACGAGACAGACTTGCCAACGAGTTAGCTACCTGGCGTCGCGATACAGCGAACCTTTCTCTCTCAGATGTCGACCTTTCGAGCACACTACCAGGCGACAGATCCAGCTTTCGAACGCGGGAATGGTACGAGATGCTCTATCACAATGCTCTCTTGATGTTATACAGACCATCACCAGGTCTCTCGTCAGCATCGTCGCGAGATGCAGTAGTCCTACAGACTATATTCATTGCAGCCAAGCAAGCAATAACACTCTATGCTCATCTCCACCGGTCTCGGCGAATCAATTACACATGGATCACGCTGCACTCGGTCTTCATGGCGGGTCTTTCATATGTCTACGCAGTGGGTCGGCATTTCCGCTCCCGTAAAAGGAACATATCCACATCTACGCCAACAGCATTGTTCGATAACGATCCCACGATTATTGAGATTGTGAATGATTCAAGAGCATGTTCAAATGTTTTGGTCGCCATATCGGAGCGATGGAACGTGACGAAGAATTGCCATGATGTGTTTAATCGTCTCAGTGATGCAGTGTTGTCTGACGCTGTAGAGTATCATACCAAAAGCTCTGAACCTATGAGGGACGTGTTACATGATGCCTCGCATGGTTCAATTTCTGCTGGTGTCGTTGGTAACCCCCAACTTAATTACTGGCCCATTGATGGGACAGGTCCAGCATCGCTTGCGGTGGATTCTGTTCTGCATGAGTGTTTTGATGACTTACAACGATTCCAACCATATGGCTGTGGTGATGATCCCGTTGGTCAATTATCGCATGACTGGCTTGGAGAGATTGGGGGCATTGAATTGAATAATATGCCACCCATATGGTGATATCAAAGCCGAATATAATCAGCTATTGAATAATTTTGACCCGGTCTATCCGGCCACCATGGATTGCTTAGAGCATAGCCAAGATAAATACCTCGTATGCTTCTCCCCCACTCCCCACATCGGGGGATTCCCCGGCTCTCGGCGAGCGGCTCCGTTGTCCGATTCCTGTCTCGCTCCCACTGCTGATCTTCAGCAAATGTGGAATTAAAGTACCGGAGTTTTACCGCGAGGAGCTGGACACTGCAGCACAAAAGGGACGCCTTCTCTTCAAGATAAAAAGATGTGGCCGGAAATACTACTAAAGATGAGAATACAGACTTCCTTCAACAACGTGGCTATCGCTGCATTATTCGGAGTTTCGGCTCTTGCAGTAGATCCTTGTACCCATGTACCAGCACTGGCAAAACAAATCGCCGAAATAAGTGTGACATCGGCGTCGTGGACCTCGAGAAACGAACTGGTCCTCTCAGGTTCGAGTACGGATGCAGCGCTCCCGAATCAATATGGGTTCTGCCGAGTGAAGGGCCACATTGAATATAGTGGCAACAACTCGCTTGCGTTTGAATTGTGGCTACCCGAGCAGGATTCATATAATGAAAGATATCTTGTTGCTGGTAAGGTAAAGCACCCTGTTCAGAGCAAGAACAAAGATTGATTTCACACGAACAGGAAATGGAGGCCTTGCGGGAACGATTGATACATCTGCCATGATGTTGAATCTCAATCGAGGTTATGCGGTTGCAGCGTATGTGAATTTATTCTGACCAAGGAGACTTCTACTGGTATTCATGAATTTTGATTCTAACCCGAATCACAGAGGAGATTCCGGCCACGATGTCGCTCTGAACGGTAACGGCACTACCCAACCAGGACAATATATCTCTTTTTTGAATAGCCCAGCCCAGACAAAGGCTTGGATCCATAACTCTATCGCCATGTTGACACCACCGACTCGGGAGCTGTCCGCCTTATACTACGGATCGAAGCCAACTTTCAGTTATTTCAGTGGATGTTCAACCGGTGGAGCCCAAGGATTTGCGCTCGCACAATTGCACCCTGACCTCTTCGATGGAATCTACGCTGGCAGTCCTGGGAACTGGTATTCGCATTTGATACTTTCATTTTTGTGGAATGCCAAGCGCACAAAGGTATGAGGAACTTGAGAAGACAAGTTGCCTAAAATATTCTTCATGGAACACACGCTAATTGCTCCCAGGGTGATGCATTTCTAGACCAATCCGTTCTAAATTTTACCACAAATGCAATCCTAGCAAAATGCGACAGCCTTGATGGCGTTGTCGATGGTCTTATCGAAAATCCACTCCATTGCCCATTCAACATCCGCTCGCTGGCATGCCCAGATTCATCCAAGACATCCAAGAGTAATGTGACCTGTCTGACTCAACCCCAAATCAAAGCCATCGAAGCCATCTACGCAGGTCCCACAGACAGCCGCAACGGGGATGTAATCTACCCGGGTTACACACTCGGAAGCGAAAAGGAGTGGCTCCTCCAGGAAACGTCCTTGTATCTGAACTATAGCACTCCAATTCTGCAAAATTTGGTCTTCAACAATATGTCATTTGACATCAGCCAATTTGATTTCGGAGCGGATGTTGATAAAGTTGATGCTATTGCCAGTCCACTCATTGATGGCATCAGTACGGACTTGAGTGCTTTCAGAAAACGGGGTGGGAAGATGATTGTCACGCAAGGTGAGTTATCATACATGAAGAACTAATGGCAAAACTAATGTATTGAGCAATAGGCTGGACGGATCCTTACAATGGTGCCCTTTGGCCCATTATGCACCTTGAGCAATTGCAGAATACCACCGCGAACGGAAATGTGTCTGAATTTTTCAATCTGTTTATGATTCCCGGTATGTCTAAATTTACAAAGAGTTTTAATTCCATGTTAGTGCTAACTTCACTTGCCCGAACATAGGTGGTGGGCACTGTGGACCGGCATCATCTTTTCCCTCCGCACCGTCTACATACCATGCCGACGATGTACTCCGAGCCTGGGTGGAGAATGACACATTCCCTGAATCGATACTAACATCTCGGCCTTTGGATGGATCGAACCGCACGAGGAAGATTTGCCCATGGCCTCAAAATGCTCGCCTGAAAAGCCCAAGTGCTGGTTCTGATAATGCTGAAAGCTTTGTGTGCGCTTAGCTTGAGATCATTGAATTACTTGGACAGTCGCAGAACATCTACGCGCCCGAAGCGAGCATATCATCTGATGTGTTATTTTGGTGGCGTTGCTTTCCGCCATACTGTATGTAGATGAATGTTAACTTAGTGGGTTTGTTCCGTGTTGTGGTGGATATTGGTAACAATGAGAGTTAAGGGTAAGTAAAGAAGTAACTTTCCTATATAGAGGGAGAGATGTGTGCAAGGAATCATCAAGCTATTTGTACCTGGACATCATTTTGCCGATCCAAGAGAGTTATCTATGCTATTATTCAGTCGCTTTGTTACTTGGCAAAAGTCTGCCCGAGTAACATACAAGGCAAGAAACAAGGAAGTGATGAACATAGACAGTGATAATTGTCTATCTTCTGCTATTCTTGGTACTGGACAAATGGTATCCCAACAACGGTGCAAAAATACTCACAAAATAACAATTTCACAAAGGAAACACCCCTTTTGGCGGCTAAGGTGTTGTTCCTCCAACCAAAATCTTGCATCATTTGTTTAATCGGACCAAAAAAGCACCGAGAAAAAGGAAAACATCCTGCAGGTCATACATCATGATCCGTCTCTTCGTTGCCGGACAAGGCCCCAAGCTGCGGCCAACTGGCGAGGACTATGAATTCAGAGTCTTCGTAATAATGACCTTCAACCCTCCTTTCTCCTTGGGAATTCCAAAGCCAAACTCTCTGTAAGTAACAATATGCTCGGGTCCAGTCTTGTACAAATCCATATCAAATCGCCGGACCAATGCAGAAATAACAAGGTACAGCTCCGCCAAAGCCAAACTAAAGTAAATGAAGTTAGCGGCAGGCTTCGACAGAACGGGTTAGACAATATCTTACTGGTTACCCAGGCATTGTCTAGATCCTTTGATAAAGGCAGCAATCATAGGTTCAAGACGTTGTCCGGCTTCCTGAGCGCGAATCCATCGCTCAGGATCGAAGGTATACGGATCGGGGAACAGCTCTGTGTTCATGTGCATAAACCAGGATGATGTGCTCAGAAGTGTCTTTGAGTTAGAACATGTTAGCCGAGGTGATTTTGTAATTTTCGACACATGGATGATTCCTTACATTCGCTGGGATTGTCCACTCATTCAACTGCAATGCTTCATCTGGAGCACGTCGTGGAAGTCGAGTTATGACACCGGAAAGACGAAGACCCTCGTTAATCACTCCTCTCTAAATTTGAGATTCACCGGTTAGTCAGTCACTTGTCCCCAGATCCTAGACCGAATAACTTACCATGTAGGGTAGTTGTTCGAGCTCGGCCCATGTATCGCATGAATTCTGCGCAAGCTCCTCGCGAAGCTTTGACAGCAAAGATTTGTTGTGCAGCAAGTTGAACATAATAATTTTCAGAGTTCCTGTGGTGGTCTCGGTACCTCCGCCGATCAATGAGAAACCCTCGTCCTGTAGCCGATCCAGAGTCCGCTCTTCTGCAGGCAGCGAAGGATCGCACAGAGCTCCAAACATTGTGTCCTTACCCTTGACGTGCCCTCCATTTTTCAGTGCAACTGCTGCTTGTGCACGAACCAACTTCTGCAAGCGCAAGATTTTTGAAGCCTCCGGAGAAAGAGTTTCAACAACACTGTCCGGGATGATTTTCGAAAGAGACAAAATGAAAGGGAAAAACTTCAAGACATGAACAGAAGACGCAAGACTTAAAATCGACTCTGCAACCTCATTCTTGAAATTGGGATCATCCAAATAGTCAAGACTGACACCATATGCAAACTCCGAAATGATATCAGCAGTCAGAGCCGACGATGCAGAGTCCAGGGGGACAACGGTGCCTTGATCGCATGCAGTGGCTAACCGTCCCATAAGTTTCTCAACCTTGCCCTGGATCATTGTCTCTAGACCGGTGATAGACTTCTTAGAGAAGAAGCTACTGAGAATAGCCCGCCGAGAGGCGTGCAAGTTGTGGTCGACAGTTGCAAACATAGAAGTCGGCTGTCCTGCCAACCGAACCATTCTTGGATCCTTCTCACGCTTTCTGGTAGGACCAGCATAAATTTCTGTATAGAAATAGGGATCTGAAACATGAAGCTCATGAGGAGTAACGCGCACAATCGGACCTTCAAAACCTTTAGTCGCTGCTTTCAGAATTTCTATATCATGATGTTCGTACCATACTTCCGGTGCATTTCCTCTATCTCGAACAAATACCGACCGCCTTGGATCACATTGTAATAGAATTCATACAGGGTCGATGCCGCAGCTAGTTTCGGCCCCGGGAACTTGCTTAGAGGATGAAAGTACAGCCTGTATACTACCACACCGCAAATATAGAGAAGAACAGCGCAGAGCGGAAGCAGCATCGCGAGGGTGGTATGACGTTAGGGAGTCGTGGAGGGGCGGAAAACAAAGAATCGCCTTCCCATGTAGGAGGTGTTCATGTATAAGTCCAGAATGAGCAATCGGCCAATCGGACCGGGGCTTACCGGGACCCTATGCAGATCCCTTATCGAATGAAAACACACATATTGCTACGTGGCATCACTCCCAGAATGCCGCTAAAATATTAGACGCGGCAGGATTTCTGTCTTCGGAATCCATTTAAATGTGCCCCGACGCTACTCTGTATAGTTGCATTACCGGGTTTGTGACCATGCGAGTAGGGGTTAGGGGTATGTCCGGGGTCGAGTCCACCTGGACATGTTCTGCGGAAAATTAGTAAGACAGTAACTTTATTAATAGATGATCTTCAGTCCTTAAATTCATACTTCACGAACAATGATTTTCACCCGGAGCGACAATGCCAAGCCAAGGGATATTAAAACCGGAAGGGATACTATACACGGCTCGTTACGGTCGCAATTCATTTACTTCGCTCCACTCTCGACGACTCCATCAAGCTGCATATTCAGTTCATTGTCTCATTCCAGACCGTCATCTCCGAATCTCCCGTTCGGTTATGCACAAATCATATCAGAAGCGTGGAAGGAGTGGGCCGTCTCACGAAAGTACATCTGCGCCCCTCGCATGGCGTGATAAAGTACCATGCGGCCAAAAGTCCTGTACATTTTATTGCATGTGTGCGTTTAACCTTGACGCGGTGCATATGTGATACCTTTTCCATGCGTCTAGAAGGCTGAAGTAGGAACTAGAAGGTGATATATGCCAAAATCTGCGAACTACAATATGGCTTCTCTTGCCCCGCACTAAAAACTCCTTGAGATTGTGGAGATTCTTGGCAAATTTTAAACCTGGCTTACAGTGATAAAAGTTTATGCTTCTTAACCCGGAAATGTGTAAGTGGCAAAGAAAACCCTGCAATTGGATCTGCATTGAAACAATGAGAGCCAAGTGGGCTCGAATTTGAGACGGACACGTATCTGTAGAAAGAAATTAAACAGGGATCGGCGGAAAGTGTTATTTAGGTTTGTATAGAGTACGAGTCATGCGCTGTGAACATTATTTTATGATATGTCCATATCGAGCCAATGGGTTTGGCCCTTGCATGAAAGCATGAAAGTGTTCGGGATTGTGGCGTTCGTAGGATGCTAGGCTACCGCACACAGTCCATTCTTTGTATGCGAAAATGTACCAATGAGGAAGAAACTGCTTGCTCCGGGCTTCGCTCTCGCCATGCGGATTATCGCCGAGTATCAGTCTGAGTTAGCGCGGTTTTGGAGCGCGGGATGTGCCATAAGCGATACGATGTAGTATTTATAGTCTTAAATCCCCACCTAAACGCCGAGGGTGCATTGTGTGACCCTGTGCTCTTCGATATCCACGAGACCACATGTGCATAACTTGTATCAAATTTATCAAGCAAAATGGTCAAAGAATACGCTGTGCCGGTTGATCCTGAGATCTACGCCGCCGATCCAGGATACACCTCCCTTTTTGACCCTTACATTCACAAGAAAACGGAAATAGCCGACCATGCTTCAGTCCAATGCCACATAGACTTGCACGGAGTTGATGGCGTTGGGTCCAAGTTCGGCAACCTCAATGCACATGCTGGAAATTTCACTTCTTTGTGTGCGCCAAACTGTCTACCTGAAAGACTGGCTCTTGTAGCATACACCGTTGAATATGCATTCCTCCACGATGGTAAGTGAGCAAGTCAATCGGACGAATTTTGTTACTGACACTCGGAAACAGACGAAACCGATAATGCGGCAGATCATGATGCCGTATGAAAATTTGCAATTGAATCTATGAGCGACAAAAAGGCTAACTCAATTCTCAGCTACTACGCGAAAATCAAATGCTTCATCAGGCTCTTACCCAGAGTGGCATGACTTCTGTTTCAAGCAGAGTCTCAGAAAAAGCACAACGCAAGTCCGAAGTCCAAGCAAAGATCGCAGCTGAATATCTGCGTCTGGATCCCGTCTTTGGTGACTGGTTTATTTCAAGATGGGAGACATTTACCAAGTCAGTGGAGGATGTCAGGATTGCCCAATTTACCAGTCTGGACGATTACCTGGCATTCCGAATTGTCGATGCCGCAGCAGAGTATGATCGCCCAATATTACCAAACACAAACACGCATAATATTCTGACCGATTAACAGCTGGACACTTTATAATTTCCGATGGGGCTCAGGAATCTCCCTCACTGAAGAAGAAGAGAAAACCGCCGACCCCATGAGCTACATGGCATATGCCGAGCTATGTCTCGTGAATGACTTGTTCTCATGGGACAAAGAATATGCATCTCACCTCAAAAGCAGCGGAGACGTTCCTTTGGTCAACGCTGTCCATATTGTGGCGGTTAATCAGGGTCTAACGCATTCCGCTGCGAAGGCAGTAGTGATGGCCGAGATTCGAGCACACGAGGAAAGGTTTTGTCACTTGAAAGAGAAGTACAAGTCTACTTCAAACCCATCAAAATCAGTGCTTGACTGGTTGACCTTGCTGGAACACTCAATGGCTGGTAATTGGGTTTGGAGCCTCCGTGTTCCACGCTACTGGAAGACTGAACGCAACCCATACAAAGACCACCTCGAGACTTTTGGCACTAATAACGTCAGAGTCCTCGCACCGCCAGAGCAATTTTTCGATTCAAAGACCGATACCAAAAGCGCCACCCAGGTTCGGGCTGTCGACCTTAAAAAGCAAAGTAAGTGCAGAGAGTACCTGGGACAGCCTGGTTATTACAATCGTTAAGAAAACGAAGTTGCTAATGATATTCGATAAACAGCAGTTGAGGATGACGCATTGATGACCTTCGCATCAAATGGATTGTCAGTCAACGAGGTTAGTATTTAGTGCCAAGATAACCGAAAGCTGTGAAGGGGAAACTAATCGCTGGTACATCAGCCCGTTTTGGACCCTTACACTTATATCAACTCACTTCCGTCGAAGAATGTGAGACAAACATTGATTTCTGCTTTGAACACATGGTACAGAGTGCCAGAGAAATCCCTTTTGATAATTGAAGGCGCAATCAATTTCCTGCACAACTCGTCGTTATTGTGAGTCAAGATTATCTATCATAGGTATATATCAGCTTGCTAACCACCACGTAGGCTTGATGATATCCAGGATGGCAGCTCTTTGAGACGAGGCAAGCCTGTTGCGCACCACATCTTCGGTATCGGCCAGACAATCAACACTGCCACATACTTGATGAATGAAGCCTTGTGTCTCGTGCATATGCTTTCGAGGTCTGCTGTCTCTGTCTACTCAGGTATGTCTACAGCAATATACAAGGAACTTAGGTCCGTTGATTAACCAATACCAGAGGAAATGCGTCATCTTCAACTTGGACAGGGACGTGATTTGCACTGGAGCTACCACACTCACGTACCTACCGCATCACAATATATTGGCATGGTCGACGGCAGTAAGTACCTTTTGCTCACTTTAAGTGAATGAGTTTCTAACATGATAACAGAGACTGGTGGCCTATTCCGTCTTATAAGCCGTCTGATGAAGTCAGAGGCTACAGTGAATCGGTATTCGAAACTGATCATAATACAAAGAAGAAAAAAGGCTGACGCATTTACAGTGATCTTGATCTGGGTCATTTGACTACCTTACTTGGAAGGTATTTCCAGATCCGCGATGATTACCAGAATCTCCAAAGCGCCGATGTAATATAACCCCACCCTACTCTACCGCCAGATATACCTGAGCTAACACGTCATAGTACACCGTACAAAAGGGCTTCTGTGATGATCTCGATGAGGGGAAACTGTCATTCCCCATAATATTGTCAATGCAAATGCCAGGATTTTCCAACACCGCGCTCAGAAGCATCTTCAGAAGCAGCCAACATGGCGAAACCCTGTCGCCCCAAATGAAGCAATATATTCTCGAGGAAATTACTGCCCGAGGCGCCTTCTCGCAAACAAAAACTGTCTTGAAGAGATTGCATACCGAACTGCTTCGTCTACTGATAGAAACGGAAAGAGAAGCTGGCGACAGAGAGAACTGGACACTTCGATTGTTAATCATGAAACTTGAGATCAAGGACGAGGAGGAGAAGAATGAGAAAAAGACAATTAGTGATTCCGAGTACGCTTGGAAGAATAATCAGCGACTCGGCTGGGAAGGTACTCAGGTGAATGGACGTCCTATTGCCAAGGCATGCTTCCTCAGAGCTCTGGAAGCTTCTTGAGTAATGAAGCAAAGGAAGCAACACGTCGTTGGATTATCTGCGTTCAGGCATGATATGAATACGACAATAATTACGACTAACGATCTTTGCAAGCATGCGTGAAATTGTTTATTAGAGATGCTTTTTACATATTATCATAGAGGTCAATGCGATTTCAAAAATTCCTGGTCCTATTGTACGATATGCCCGCGTTGATAGGTAACTTGCTTACGGATTTGTACTGATGCTCTACCTTTCTCTGCCCTAGAAAAGACACCGGAGAAAGAGGTTCTATGGATGGCGGGACCCACTTAGTATCACGGAGTCTTGCCGGCGAAAAAGGCACCTCGGAGTGATTTTCCGCTCCCGCCATATAAAACCAACCTGGAGTAGCGAAGTTAGTATGTTCAAAAACGAGA